GCTAATTTGTCTCATTTTTATGAATGTGTTGATAAAATTTTTACATTTGTTTTCGAAAAAGACCGTTATTTTGACACATATTTTTATTCTTCTTGCTTCTATCGTAAAAGGCAAAAGTTGTTTACACGACTTCACATCAACCCTTAATATCATCAAAATGAACCCGAAATGAAATCAATGTTAAGTTCCTGATTTTACTTCTCCCCCATTGACCCCTTAAATTATTTATGACAGCTAAAGTCTGTTCGAAAAAGGGTTGAAGTACTGATTCGTTGGCATAAAATTTACAATTTTAATGATGAAAATCTCATTTTTACTCCGCTTTTGAGAGGTCTGTCAAATTGTTTTTCTATCTTTTTTTATTGGCTTTTAAAGTGACATTAAATGTAAACATATGTACGTGTACATACATTAGTCTAGTAGCAAATCATCTACTGCTTTTGCAATGACGGGTTTGGTGATCTGCATCTTTGCGCTCTCTGGACGAGGCTGGATTTTGTTATTTTGCACTTGGAGGATGATATTTTGTACTTCAGATCAGTCAGAGATGGACACCAGCAAAGATAAATCACGCTTTATCAATAATTTACCTCCGCTTAATGCGAAAAGGCAAATCAGGCAGAAGAATGTGAAAAGTCTTTAAGGCTGGATACACAAGGAAAGTCAATGTATGGGTGTCACATGAGATAACGAGAAAAGAGTTCATGGACCAAATTTACATCTACAAACTCGACCCATTTCTGAAGGAGATGTTAACTGGTGATAAAAGGCGGATCGCTTATTTCAATCTCAAGGGAAAACGATTGCAGTGCAAGGGGAATGAGCCGGCAAAGACGGTTAGGAAGGTTTTGTTGTGTATATGTTGGGATTGTCAAGCAATCATCTACCATGAGCTGCTCCCATCCGGAAAAACCCTTAATTCGGTCATATACTGTCAGAAATTTGACCAACAGGTGGGAAATTATGTTTCTCCAGGACAACGCCAGACCGCACATATCGCTGGTGACCCGCCAGGAGCTCCAAGAGCTTTGGTTGGGAGGTTTTTACGTATTCATCTTATAGTTCGGACCTCGCACACAGTGATACCATCTATTCCTGTGTGTGGCGAATGGTTTTGTTGGTGTATTGGTCTTTAGAGTAATCTCTGATGAGAGAGGCATAATGGCATTACCTTCAAAAGGCTAAAAAGTAACCGCGCAAGACGGTGCATATTAGACATAAGAATCATGAACTCTAACTATGGTAAAAGAAGCAAAGCGAGTGCTAAGCATTGTTGTTCAGAATGCCAGAGTTCAAATGCTGGAATGACCCACAACCAAAAGTTAAAAAAAAATTTATTTAAATAAAAAATTAAATTAAATTTTCTAATTGCGGTCATCTCACGGCAGAGAATGTCAGCCCCTCGGAGTGTACTTATGGCATGAAATAAAGGTCCCTCATAAAGATCTCTAGCTTCGGCGCCTACAAAGTGTCAATTGTCTATGTATATAATATTTTAATTGCAAAAATATTTACAGAAAACATTTTGCAAACAGTTTTTTTTAAATATATATGTGCATACACCATTGTATATTCACAAAATTCAGTCCATAAAATAATTTCAATTTTTAGAATTGTTTTCTAAAAACACCGATTTAGCTCTTAACACACATTGTGCACCTAATTTACCGCAATGTGCAATATTTTGAACTTATCATACATATGTACATATACCCAAATGTATGTTCGTATAATCCCAATCATTACATTTCATTTCGTAAATTTCATTTTCCCATCAACTCGCTGACGGTATCTCATGAGCCGGTAGATCAAACTGTAATCACGCCCAAGCCAACCACAGCAAGAAATAAAATAAAATAAACGAGAAAAGGGAAGAGTTCACAAGAATTCGACGCAAAAGTTTGCCACCACGAATAGTTGACGCTAAGGGAATTGACAGCTGCCATATCGTCGTCTTCGCAGTCGTCGAAGTTGTCATGTCGTTATGCACTGCTTGTACTCGTTTACGCATTACATACAAACATATCTATGTATTTCTATATACTTCTTACGCGTCAATCGTACATACTTTTGTTTTGACGCATTCAAACTGAAAATTGCAGAGTCGATTTCCTCAACTTTCACCTCTTCTGCTTTGCTCCTTCATCGCGTCCACTCAGCAAATAGCAAGGCAATTCAAAGTTTATAAGTTCGGCGTGAAAAGTGCAGTTGCATAGCAGCGTAAGTAGTGCTGCACTTTACACTTTCCCATTGTGATGACTCTGCTTTATTTCTTAATTTATTTTCTTTTGCTTTTTTTATTTGTTTTATTTTCATTATTCTTATTATACATATTTTTTTTGGTTTGATTGTCTTTCTTTTTCTTCTCTATAAGTTTTTGTGCTCCAGAACTTATTGTATTTATCTTTCCCAAAGCAATCGTCAAGTAAGAGCATTTATCCAGCCACAGCAGCGGCGTTATTGTAAGCTGTGAATTACAGTGTTTGCAATAAATAATCATGTGAAAGCGAGTGTGTAGAGGAAACACATAGCAGAGCATACATTCTTATGTTTAATAAAATCAGAAGTATCTAAGTGCGAAAAGCATGTGGGAGTCAAAAGCTGTGTATGTACATACGTATACTATTAATTTTCTCTTCTTCTTCTTCTTCTCATTCTTCTTTCTCATCCTATTGAATTTTATTTTATTTATTTATTTTAATAATAATAACAAAGCATTAGTACAATAAGATTTCCATATCTTTTTTAGTACAACAGAGATAGTGTGAAGAATAAGTAAATATTACTTTACAGATACCTTAACAAAAATAATAATAAAAATAAAAATAATNATCAGCTTCAACGGGTAGACAAACAAACAAACTGTCTCACTGAAACAATACCAAGAATTTTTATTTAAAATGCCACCGAAACAGTATTAAACTCTCGAGCGTAGACAAAACACGTCCGGCCGCAATGACTTCACAAAGTAGAATTTGACTGCATTTGATTGCCAACGCTTGAGAATGAATACTTTGCCTTTTGTCATTGCCATTTTGTGGTGATTTTATTCCAACTGAAATGGCGATGCTTTGCTGCAGGCGAGAATTCGTCTTCTTCTATGCGATATCAAATAAAGATTTACGAAAGTGCGTGTAAGCTAAAAGCTAACTTGGTTTTATACTCCTGTGCGCATATACTCTCATACAATTACATATATGGATATAATACAAAGCTATAGATGCTAGCGCGTCACAGCTAAAACACACTCAAATAACAAAGATTGTTAGTTAATAGTGGTGGTGGTGCTTTCGCTTCTTCTTCTTCTTCTCCGTCTCCTTCTCCTTCTTCTCCTTTTTCGTCTCTTCCTCCTCCCAGGCAATTCTCACCAATGAGTGCAGTTACCTACTATTGGTTACGTATACGCCATGTCAGTCGCATTGCAGAAGTTCAACAAACGATTCATGCACAAATTTATTGCTACAGCTTACAAGCATGAACAGTGTATGTATTGTAACTGGCTTATAATAAATTAAGGTTGCTACTGTAATTTTTGTAAATACTGTATGTACCACTGTGATCGATGTAAGGAGGGCAAAAACTTATGCTCTTTGTTACTTTTCTTATTTATATTATTTTTCTCTTCGTCTTAATTATGAAATCTTTTAAAAAGTTTTTTTTTTTCCAAGCTCACTTTTTTTTGGTTTTTGCTAAATGAATTGATTCAGTAATTTTTGTATCTAATTTTCGTTTTTTTCTTTAAATTTTTTTTATAAGTTTTTGAGGTTTAATTGTTGTGCCTTTTGGTTTTGGTGTTAGAAGTGACAAGTTTTTTCGGATATCATAACATTTCTCTATCAGAACTCCTTTGGCAGGGATAGGTCTAACGTATCCTTTTGTTTTTTACATGTTGAGTTTTTTTTTACCATTACCTAAATCTTAGTTATATATTTATTTTTTTCTTAATATTTTTTTTGGGTCGTGCTTGCTAATAAAAACTAAAATTGTGTTTCGACGTCGAACTTTTATTGTGTTTGCTGTTGCTGGTGTGAATGCACGCCACGAAAATTAGAAACATATCGTCCGTGTTTTACTAAACAATCCATCTTGCTTGTGCGTTCTTCAATTTGGTTTTTAATTTTCTTGTGCTTCTCCTGTTTCTGACCTTCTCCCATCCACTGCACCTCTTGAACGGCGTTGAGCTCAGCATTTTTTTATTTAAAATTGAAATATATAATTGCAAAATGGGTGAGCGCCAAATCTGATTATGTAGTGTCTAACAACCAGAGACCAGAGACAGAGAATTCAAAAATTATTATTAATTTAGAAAAAATATGTCTGCAAAAAATTTATATTTTATTATTCAAAAGGTTTCGCTGAAACTGGAGATTTATTTCACAAAAACTGCTAATTAAAATATTAGTAAGCAACTTTTTTTTTTTTAAATATTTGAAAGAATTTCACTTCATTTTTTCCTGAAACATTCAGTGTTTAATTTATTTGTTTAAATAGAGAAACAAGTTTGGTGAAAAGCAATTTAAAACACGGCTGTAAATATGCAATGATTTCTATATTCATCAATTCTCTATCATATTTCGTAATTTATCTCGTTTTATCGCATTTATGACTCTTACGAATACTCAGTCTTTCACGTTTATGTGAATTTTACGGGTAAAAGTAGCAAAAACAATATCATGAAGTCGCAAAGTTTTGACAAAGGAGTTGGCTTTTTACACGTGTGAAATTCCGAAGTAATTCAGGATGGAACAACGTTTTTATGGTGATAACGACGTAATTTAAGCAAGAATTATAACTGTGGCTATAAACATGAGCGCGAATGAGAGTTTCATTTAAAAGCTGAAAGGAACTTTTTATGGTTAAAGGATAATTTTCTTGTAATTAATAAAATCCATTATTTTATTTAATTGAAATAATTATATAAAAATATATATTGATTTGCGAATAAGATTTAACCTTTTTTATTATCCTTTAATATGGGTTTTTGTTTTCCTATCTTCCAGATTATTTCTAACGAGGCACAGAAGCGTTGGTGATTAACTGTAAAATCAAAATTCATAATCAAATCATATCAGAAAGCGAAACAATCACAACATAGAATAAAACTTCAAAAATATAACAGCAACAGAATACAGATAAAGAAAATAATATAAAACTTAATAAAATATGTCGACTTCTGTACAAAACCCGAACAAATCACCAAGCACCATCGACGCCACCGCCGTTATTTCTGCAACCGCTCTCACCGCCAGCTCTGCCATACAACAACTCTCCTCCATTTCGCTGATGCTGGAATACGATATTGACAATACGCTGAATACGATCAAAGAGAATGGTGCACACTTGATACAGCAACAGCAGCAGCAGCAGCAACAACAACAATCTCAACCAACGCAACAACAACAACTGCAACAACATCACGCGCAAAAGAATGCCGGTCAATTAGCAGCGATACATGCGACGAAAGGTGAAACCATCAACACGAACAAACATCAGACGACAATACAGCAACAACAACACTGCGATGCCACAACCACGACAACGGCAAAAGATATCAAACAACCTGTGCTGCCACCAACACCACCAGCCACACCCAATTTGGCGACAACAGCACGCAAACGCTGGAAGATTTTAGCAAAAGTGCTGCGCAAAGACTCCGAGGAGACCGTCTCGTCGTCGGGTGAGGAGTTTGGCGAAGAGCAGACCGCCTCGGTGCGTCGTTTCAAGTCCTTTGACCTGCTGCGACAGGACAGTTTCGAGGATCATATAACATTAAATTGCCTGGGCAAACCGGAGAACTGGTACAAGTACAGCGTGCTGTTGGATGGTGTGTGTCAGCATGAGTACACCGTCAACATACATCATGTAGAGCGACAGCTTACAGCGAGCGACCTAATGGGCTTCAATAACACCGGTAATATTTGTGTTTGGCCCTCGGAGGAAGCGCTGACTGCTTATGTGCTGGCAAATGTTGGCGCGTTTAGTGACAAATGGATATTGGAACTGGGCGGTGGATTCACATGCTTGGCCGGCCTTATGCTCTCCAAGTACGCCAAGCCGTATGCCGTACATCTCACCGATGGCAACGAGGTGTCCGTCGAGAATGTAAAGAAGACAGTGTGCTTGAATGAGCTCGCTTGCTATACGAAATGTTCGGTGCTCAAGTGGGAGGATGTGGAAGCGCGTACAGGTACCGAAGCTTTAAAATTCGATGTTATACTCTCAGCTGATTGCCTGTTTTTCGATGAGGCACGCTCAGCATTGGTGGAAACCATTTGGTACTATATGGCACCCCGTGGTGAGGCGATCATAATGGCACCGAGGCGGGGCAAGACCATGGCGATGTTTGTGGCTGAGTGCACGCGTCGTGGTTTTGCAGTGGAGATAACGCAGCGCTACAATGAGACCATATGGAAGCGGCACGAGGAGCTGATGTTGACGTCAGATCTCTATGATGAGGACTTGCATTATCCAGTGTTACTGCGGCTGCGTAAGCCCGTAATGGGATAGAAGTGATGAAAGGCTGTGCGATAATGCAACGAGCGGAAGATAAAAAACGTCAAATTCTATACAAAAAAACAATAAAAAAAGAAAAACAATTATTTTAAGCAACCAATTTTGTATTATCCCAATAATTCCAAATACGCAAATTCCGATTAATTACGATTATGAAGAAAATGATATTAAATATAATAAATTAATATAAATATGAGATTATAAATATATGAAATTAAAAATTAGACACTTACATACGAGTACATATAAATACATATAATGAAAAAAAAAAAGAAAAAGTTGTAGTTTGTAAATTTTTGGCGCACTTTTATGCGCGCGAACAAAATGGTAAATGCTTTAAAATAAATAGTACAGACAAGTTCAAATAGCTATCCCGAACTAACACACAGAAAATTCCACACTTTGTCACTCATACGAACTGAAGAGGAATGATGAGGGCTTACTGGATTTTACTGGAATTTTCAAAATAAAAATTAACATTCATTAAAACCGAATTCAGACGACTCTTTAAATTGGTTTCTTGTAATTCTGCAATCAGATCTCACAATATGTTTTCCCATTCAATGATTAATTGCTGAGGCTACTCACTATACTTCGGGTCGTCGAAATAGAGCGGTTTAATTCATATCTAATCTAATTTTAAATATCTGTTTCAAAAACACTATTTTTTTTATTTAGTTAGAAAGATAGTTATAGTCATTAAATTAGAAGATCCCAAAGAAATCAAATATATATATATATATTTATAAATGGACCGGATTAATTTGTAAACCACAAAATAATAGAGTAAGATAAAATAAAATAAATAAAATAACAATTTTTTGAATTAATATATATTAATTTAGATAATCACACAAATAGAAAAATGTTTCAAATTAGTTTACAATTCTTATTAAATAATTTAATGAAATTTTGTTAAAAATAAAGGTCGAAATCGAAGAGTGTAATTTTTTCTTAAAAGCTGTCAAGGCTGTACTTTGTTGCAAATTACTAGATAATACTTAGATTTTAAGCTGTGCAACACTTGCGAGCAATGTGCACCAAGATCCCTGCAATGTGTCCTGGTATCGAAAAAAGTATTATTTTTTGTGTTCTTTTGTAGAAATTTTTAGAGTTTAGCTTATTCGTAAGCTTTTAAACTTGGTAGGCTTAAATTTTTATATAAATAAAAATTATATTCTTTATTTATAGTTTCCACGTCTCTCGAATCAGTTTTGAAAACCTCCTTTTGTGAAATAATTTAGAAGTGAATACTTAAAATACCAATTAATCGCTGAATGCACTGTTAAAAATGTAATTTCCTTGCATTCCCCAGGCAAAAATTATGAAGTAATTTTAATTTTATGAAACTTTTGTTGCTTATATTAAGTACATTATAATCATAAAAGTAACTTGACATTAAATTTAATAAAATTAACTAAGAAAACACATCCACCCTGGAATTCTTATCAAACCAAAGCCATGGTAGTAAAACTTAAGCAAATATAAAAAAACAAAAAAAACACTTCTATATGTAAAAAATACAAAAAAAAAAAAATTTCAGAAATAAGCTTAAAAATAAAAAAGTAATGAATTAAAAAAGAAAACTAAAATTAAAAACCGATTTATAAGAAGAAGATAAACCAAAAAAAAAGTAAGTCAGGACGGCATAAGAAGTTATTGCCCAGAAATAGATGGAAATTATCGTAGAGACTTTAATTAAAGAAATATGTAATTGTTTATATGTGATACTGTAATTAAATAAATAAGCCACGCTGTACTGAGAAAAGGACTCAGATCGTTAAACTGTACGCCGAAACGTTATATCTAAATACCTGTATATATGTATCTGTGTTGGATTGAGTAAAGAAGGAATATCCCAGAAAGAACTCATTTGATATTGTATGGAAATGGAGTAAGAAAAACAGATTTTAAATAAATAACGAACGATAAATAAATAGAATAAACATTTTGTTTTTGTTTTTATTTAAAGTTACCGTTTTTAGTCAAAAATATTTGAAGTTTTCGATATTGGCTCGTGCCAATATCCCAAGTTCGAGTCCATTTCGAACAAAACTGTCGTCTGGAAAAAGAAGTCTAATGAGGAAACGTGGTGGTTTCCGAAATATCTGCTATAACTTGTACCGTTTAAAACTGTTGTTGTAATTATTTCACCATTTCACAAAAATATATAGTCTGAGACAGTTCCGTAAAGCTGAAAACCCAATTTAGTTTAATTTTATTTTTTTATTTTCCTTTTTCATTTAATTTTTATTTATTTTTTATTTGATTTTATTAATTTAATTTAGTTTAATTTTATTTTAATTTAATATAATTGATTTCATTCTGTTATATTTTAGTTTGTTTATTTTATATATTAAAAAAAAAACTAACTAATTTTATTTTATTTTCATTATTTTATTATTATTATTTCATTATTTTATTTACTTATTTATTTTTCTTTCTATATTTTTTTTTTTACATTTTTTTATTATAATTTTCTTATTTAATTTTTTTTTTTTTGTTTTATTTTATATCTTCTTACCTTTTTATACTTTTTTGTCATTGTCTCTTATTAATTTAATTTAGTTTCATTTATTTTAACTTAATTTAAATTTATTTTTTCAGTTTAATTATTTTAATTTATTTATTTATTTTATTTTACTTAGTTATTTTATTATATTTGATATTTTTTTATTTTTACATTTTGTTTTTTTTTTTTTATCAACTTTACTGTGTTTAGTTTTTTTTTTTATTTAGGCTAAATTTATTGTAGTTTCCCACTTTCATGTGATCTTATTTCATTTTAGTTTAATTTATATTTTATTGTTTTACTTTTTAATTTTAGTATTTAACTTAATTTTGTTGAGTTTTCATAATATTTTTATGTATTTTTATTTTTATCTATTATTTTATTATAATCTATTTTTATTCAGCTTTTTTCGTAACCATTGCCAAGTCAAGTTTCGATAATAATAACGTAATCACTTAAATACCTGAGGCGTCGCGAAGGAAGAGTACAGGCATTAAATTAACAACTTCATTGCCCAGTTCAATGTGTACGAGTGCTTATTTAGCTCTGAGTAAAAAATGAGGTCAACATTGGAAACAACGGCAAAAGTTAAATTTTAAAATGACAATGGAAATTAGTCGCATGTTCTACTTTTAATGAGTCCACTTTCGAAACAGACTTGCAACGGCTACAACAACTCAACCGCCACTGCACTGACTAACACACTCATAAATTACTCAAAAATTAAACCACTGACCCAAACACGAACAACAATGACCAAACAGAAACGACATGACAGCGGTGAGAATGAGAATGGGTTGAATATGCGAGCGAAAGTACAATGGAGACTATGAAAACGAAATAGTAAAGGTAAAAATCGTAAAAAAAAATTGTGGGAGAGGTAGAAAATTGAAAGGGATGAAGAGGTGAGCTGAGGGAATGTAAAAGTGAGAATTAGCTATGCCAGAGGTTGGAAGGGGAAATCAGTTAATAGGAAGATACAGTGACAACGAAACGGCGGAAATGATTGAGAGGTGAGAGGGGCAGGTAGGGGCTGAGAAACTGTGGATTTATGTTAAAGTAATACAAATGCGACAACAATGGCTAGCAAAGTGGTAATGGAAGCAGAGATTTGCGGATAATGTGTGCACAGGATACACGTGACTATCGCACATTTCGCCGGAGATAAATTTACAAGCGTATAAACTTGCACGCTTTTCATACACATACACACAAGCACACAAAGCTCGAAGTATGCTGAGCTGGCAGTTCGCCAAGGGACTAACCAGCAAATAAAGGTGAGTCGGGGCAGTTTGTGTGTGTATGACAGGCAAGGAATTTTCTATATGCAACATTTAATGTTGAAGAAATATGAAGAGATAACGGTAAGTTGAATGATAATCCTTTAGATTTGTTATTGTTATTTATTTCTTTTCGTGCATTTCATTGTCGATCTGTTGTCCTGCTCGTGAGTATTTTATGTTGTCCTGCTGAATTCTTTTAACTAAATGTCATGGTGAAGAAAATATGGGATTTTGAATGTTTGTTGGAAGCTTTGGCAAAGGTTAAATTAGATCACTTAAAATGCTTCTGAACCTGCAAGATTATTCAATATGATGAGGCGTAGATTCGGGGTACCTCGATTATAAATTATTCTTACGAAGACCCAAATTATGTGCATAAAATGACAAAAATAGAGGAAACAGTCAAAAGCCATATATTTGAGAATTGTCGTCAGCTCTCTTTGAATATGAAGCTCAAGCTAAAGTGAAAAAGCGAAGCTTAGATTTGTCTATTGTATGTAAGGCTTAGAACCCATATTTGTGGAATTAAAAAATACCAGAATTTCTTAAGCTCATGTTCCGCTTATTATAACACTCTTTTATGTCAGCTGTTTTTATGGCTAAACAAACCGTTGATAAATGTCTGCTTATGCATAATTAGCCCTGCAAACAAAGCAAATACTCCACGCACTCGTGAAATAAATACTCAGAGTGAACGATAGACAACCATTCATATACAAAATATGGGCCAATTAACATTGCGATGTCCATGGCGAACCGTATACTCCATCTCTGCATAACATCCGGCAATCCAAGGAGTAGAAGAAATTAGTTTTTAAAGTAATCCCAAATATTACCCAATGGAGTACTTACAGTGGGATGCATTATATTTACTGGGCTTTTCTGTCGAGGTAATAAAATTTACTTTGGTATTAAAATTTACCATTCATCAATGTGACCTTTACGCTGGAGTACCAAACTCAAATTTCGAGTGTTAAAAAAAGTCACAAAACCGGTAAAAGTGAGAACAGGCCTGTTAAAGTTATATCGAGAGTAAAAATTATTAATTTACTTGCATTGGAATATTACATATGTAAATTAGCCCAAGCTTATGCACGCCTTCTGTGTATCAGCAGAGCCCACTAATGTATAAAGAAATGACACCGTTTCATAAGTTTTTTACAAAAGTATTAATCTTATTCCCGCATTCATCTTCGTTTAGGAATTCCGATCGTTAAAACAGGAGCAAGGGAGCGAGTTGGGAATTGATCCAATAGTACAATACATAGGAGTACCTACAGGATTACTTCAATGGACCATATGTTCTACATATATTTACAGTAAACTAATCTGTTTTAGCTTTTTTTTCTAGTAATACTGTTATACGAGTATGCCACAAACAGACATTCTCTGCGCCATTGGCGCTCGC